ACAACAGCCGTAGTCATAGCCCGGGGAGGGACACATTGACAACAGCCGTAGTCATAGCCCGGGGAGGGACACATTGACAATAGCCGTAGTCATAGCCCGGGGAGCTAATATGGAACGCAGTCTTATATCATCACTGCCTCCAGAAAAGAGCTGACTTTTCTTGAGTTTTTCCTCAGTTTAAGAATTTCTAAACCATAAGGTTTTAGTTATTGAAAGGGAGTTGAAGGCAAAAGTGGAAATTTGTCAAGCTGTTACAGACATCATTATTGTAATTCAGTGATTAGCAAAAGATTTTTAAAAACATCTTTTTGTTTGATCACAATTAATAATGAGGTTCGTAAAAAATCGTAGTGGCCAATTTCCACTTTGTCATGGAATTGTGCTTAGATTTGGGAAAAGGGATTGAGAAAAGATTGGATTTAAAGATTAATAAAGCTCACTAGTTTGCTCACATTGCCAGATTTGAGAATGGTTGAGTACTAACCGCTTCGTACGTGAATGCTGACATTTATTGCATGGCCAAGGATCTTGATTTTACACACTTTGTTAAGAATGTATTAATTTCTTGTGGAGGGCTTGTCAAAGTGTGAAATTGTAGGAAATTTCATCCTAGAAGAAGTTGTACAAGACTAGGAGTGTTTGGAACATTCCTCGGTTATTTCCTCTCGTCACTTGGAATGTTCCAACTTTGAAACACTTCTTTATAGGATGTTATCCATTGAATCTTTTCTTTTTCCAAACAGCGAGTGTTGCTGGCATTGCGATTGGGATCATCTTAGCTATATTGGTCATCATTGTCATCGTTCTAGGAGCACTGATCTACATGTGAGTTCTCCACTGTTCAGTATCCTCTACAATCAGCTTATTGGGCCTCTGTACTAACGACGCCACATGTTTTGTCAATATGGGGCCAAATCAGTAGTGAAAATTTCCACCCATGAATAGTAACATACATGTCACATGATCTGGGTATTGAAGCTGCTCTTATGTGTGAAGGTGACTTGGGTCCAAATATAGCTGACATCATGCTTCTTATGATCAAAGCATGAAATTTGCCTTGTGGAACTAAAATAAGGTGGAAATTATTTGAAGATCAGGACTCATTCTGTATCTTGCCTTTGGGGCTTTATTTTTGAAGAAAGGAATATTTTGAAAACTTCTCCAAAGTGTTTAAACAATGATCTTTCTAGGTTTGTTCGTTTTTGGATATAAGCATAGACACAAAATATGAGAGAGCTTTTGTCCTTGTTATGTCCTGGTTGGCCTAACTTTTTTACAGAGGCAGCTTTTGAGCACAGCTTGCTGTAGTTGTACTTAACTGTCAAGCTCTTTGTGATTAAGGAATTTATTTAATGTGTTAAGCTGCCAGATCAAGGCTCTGCTTGCCTACGGCAGCGGCGTGCAAAGAGTGAATGATAGCAATCATTTGAAGATCTGGCCCCATGCAGCATTCTGTTCATATTGGCTGTGGAGCTCCTTGTAAACAGAGGTGTGTCCTGTTCTTGTTCATAGGAAACGTAGACAGACAACCCCCTTACTACGTGGGGAAGAAAATGGTGTTGCTATGGTGCAAGTTAAGGATAAAGAACCAGGTAAGTTGTACATGACAAGCAAGATTGACTGGCAACTGACCATTGGTGACAGTTTGATCGATGGCCAGTCATTTCTTTGTGACACTGTCCTGCTTGAATGACCCTTGTCAAATTGATTTTCAGATTCCTGTCGTCACTCACAATTTGCCCCTTACTATCACTGTCAGTGCTTACCTTGATAACTAGCAATGCAACCATGCCTTAGGACATGGTTCCAAGTGACTGGCTAGTCTGAACCTCCATTGTTTTGGTGATATTGGCTGAGCAATGGTTAACTGCAATCATTGCATGACGTTTCCCTAGTTTGAATGATGGCTTAGTGGCAGGCAGTTGTAGAGATGGTGTTACGCAGTTTGTTACAGTTCAGTTGAAAAGCTTGTGACTTGAATTCAGACTGGAGGTCCTGTGTGGTCTTGTGAAGGTCTGAAGTGATCTCGTCTACAACACTGGCTACGGATGAAGAGACTTAAATAGCCGTGATGACAATGATTATAATGACAGTTGTGGTGACAGTGGTATGGGGATGGAAGTGCTTTTGGTTGTCGTTTTGATTGCACTAATAGTCTGACAGGTGTTTAAAGTGTAGATGATAGTTAGAATGGTGTGATTGGTGTGATAACATTGAAAGTAGGATAAATGATAGTGTGAATATGATCAAAGCAAGAAAGCACTAATCACACTTTTCTTAGTCCTGAGATCTCACTCCAGCTTCCTATATTCTTGATTCAGAACCCTCCT